GCGGATCCGCGCGGATATATGACGTCAGGATGGCGCAATTTGTTCTAAAAATAGAAACATTGTCCCATATCATAGGTGCGCGCGGATCCCAAGACTTAAAACTGAGGTTAAGATAACTCACTGTTGGGATTCAGTCAAAGATTTCATACGAAAGCAAGCTTTCAGTCTTTTTCATAGTTGTCAAATGCTAAGTTTTATTTACTTTTGTATGCGAAAACAAATACGAAAAGCTTGTCTCCTTGTTACCCATGCGCATCCATAGCAGCTCTCCGGAATCTCCTGGATACACAGCGGATCTCCCGGTCTCCCGTACGGGTCGCCAAATCTCCCAGATACGAAGGAAATCGCTTTATCACACTTACTTTGACCGGTTTCGACGTTTTGTGGCTGAATCGGTGTAGCTCTACTTTTAGCAACGAAATGATATTACTCTCCCGGAATATTTCGTTTTCTTTACGTTGGCATCTCTGCCTACAAGTAGTGTCGGATCTAGGGAAGGGGCCCGCCGCCTTCCCCCAGCCCCTCCCCGCCTTATTTTGGGTTAAAAAAAAGTCGCAGAAGAAAGGAAAGCCGGTGGGGCAAGCAAAAACAAAACGACCCCCACCCCTCCCCTTAGCTCAAGTTCTGGATCCGCCACTGACGAGAGTTGGTTTTTGGACAAACCATGTACTTACAGATTAAAAATTGAACAGGAGAAAGGAAAACAGCTCGGCCAGTAGCAGAAAGCTCAGGATGAAAATCTTGGGAAATTGTACTGTGGAGAAAATTACGGTTTAAAGAAAAACTTATTTCGGGTTTTTTTGAATTATTGGTTTTGTTACTTCTGCTACTTACCCATGAGCAAGTTTTCAGCTGACAAGACTGACAAGTCTTCATTTAAGCACTTTGAAACAGGAAACCTCGTTTAAGGAAGAACTTGTCAAGCGGAAACCTTGCTTGCGTGAAAAGGTCGATACGCCAAGTCAAGGAATTACGTCCTCTATATGATGACGTTTTGGAAAAATACGCTGTACAAACAGAACTCCGTGACTCAAGGGAGCTCTTTTAATCATTGCCTTTAATACATGAGGGAATAAACTTGTGAAGGAAGCTGTCATGGGAAACTGTACTGAATTAGCCTGCGAATACAGCCGCGTCTCATTCGCTCCCGCTACTACGTGCGAACCGCGTTTCGCACGTGGTAGCGGGAGCGAATGAGAGGCGGCTGTATCTGCAGGCTAGTACTGAATAGACTGCGAGAGCATCTGGTTTTTTCGTTGCTCTCGCAGGCTACTGTACTGATGAACAGTTTTGCCTTACGTTGTATTAAAAGCACTTTTTTTCCTGTGGCGTCAACAGCATGCGGAACGAAAAGTAAAAACCCGCTTCCCTAACAGTTTAGCACAACAATGCAACGGTCTCTCGACATTATGACGCACGAAATTAAAATAAGCAACTTCCTCCGCCGTTGAATGCTGATGACGTCAAGGTAAATAATTACTATATATACAACACCCGTTAAATAAACTTTCTTTTTAAAACTACGAAAACAAAAATTATCGGAAAACCAAATTATAATATAGAAACCGCTATTCGAAAATTTTCCCGTAGATTCTCAAAACTTCAATAAAACGAATGTTTGTATTTCTTTAATTGATACCAATGCGGTGCTGCGTCACGCAGCGATCATAGTTCAAGCGTGTCCAAGTGTGACGTGAAGTTTATTTTTATGAGGGCAGAAATCAATTTCTAATCACCAGCTTATAAATGCTATAAAAGCCACCTGTTTACCTTTTTTCAGCACTACAACAGTCAAGAGAATAGCCTTTCCCAGCCATCGACCATCGCTTTCTATATTTGATTTGCCATGCAAGCGGGAACAAGTTTTTTCAATGAGAACACGCCATCAATCGTGATACGAAGTCTCTTCGACAAGTACGACAAAGATGGCTCCGGTCGGCTTAATTATGGTGAGATCAATGATCTTTTGCAGAACGATTTAGGGTTTTCGAAGGAGCAAGCGAAAGTTTATTCCATGTTATTGGACAAAGATGGAGATCAGACCATTTCTTTTGAAGAATTTCTCGACTGGCTTCATAGCGGAGAACGGTTCAAGGTTATTCAAGACAAATCGAGATTCCACAAACTGTGCAAAGCGGTGGAGTTATTCAAAACTTATGATGCAGACAACAGCAATAACCTAAGCAAAGACGAATTTAAGCATTTGCTTGATTCCCTTGGATATCAGGGAGTAGATGTGGAGAGGTTTTTCGAATACCTGGATGAACACAAGAATGGAAAGATTTCATTCTGGGAGCTAATGAAGTGGCTAAACTGGGTTCCAGTCAGTTGAACTCCAAACAATTAAATACAAATTAATAATTGTCTGTACTCCTAACCTCGGCAACAGCACTTCAGGAGCAAGTCGGATTCCATTTGTTTGGACTTATAAGTAAACTTTTACAGAATTACGTTCCACATTTTATGTAATTTAAACATGATTCGGTGGGGATGTTGTTAAGGCATCACAGATAACTAAATTATGTGAATAAAAATTGTAAACAATATGGCTGCAATAAGCAATCATAACCACATTATGCAATAGACTAAAACCATAAATGCAATTTTTTTGTCTTAAAAATCTAAATGAAAAAGTACCCATTGCCATATAGTGAGACGGTTTTCAAATAAAGAGCACTTGAAAGTAATAGTTACTTTAATAATTTGGCTTGTTATTGTCACACAGAGACATTATTTTGGGTACTGTTAAGTAATCTACATTTGCTATTCAAGGCAGCTATATCAAGATCATTCTTAGCATAAAAATCACTTAGAAATAAATTTAAAATGATTTAGGATGAATTTGTTGTTACAGCAAGATTTACACCAGAAAATTGTTGAAAACTGTTTGTTATGTATGGTTTCATGGTTGCAACATACAAATATTACTTTGGGCTTTGACACTAGTTACCTACATCTTTTAAATCGGTAAATAAGTTATTTTGAGAAAGTGTTCCCATAACCAGTACTTTAAATCAATATTTCTAGTTTGCAAGTGTTTGTTTGATGCCTTGTGTTTGTATGGTGCCATAGAAACCAAAATATTACCCGACATACAGGGCCACCGCTACATGTAACTTAACAGGCAAACCGAGGCACTTGCCTCAGTCATTTTTTTGTTGTTGTTTTTGTTGTTTATAGTTATCATAAACACCCTAAATACCTAGGAAGAGAATTTAACTATGAACGTTGTCTCAGTCATAATGTTTTTCTGGTTACAACCCTGGCATGAAACATGAGACAGCAAGACTATACCACCAGCTGACAACGTGCACTCAATAAAAGCCTTACACCAGGTTCAGTTTGCACACTTCAATGGTAGATTTATTTATTTATTTGCCAGTTACATATTTTTTTATTTTTTCAGCAACATGGTTTAAAGAGGGTGAGTGTGTTTACATCAGAAGACATGTATGAACTGTTCTAATTGCTGTCATTTAACTAATGATAAAATGTCCAATAAAATTGGATCAAGATTAAACAAGAATGCTGTATATATTACAGATAATATTCTCTGGTATTTCAGTAACCTGAAGCTGACTAAACAAGTAAGTTTATTTTTGGCAATGAGTAGCAAAAATACCACACATCTAAATTCAACAAAAAATAGCAGTAAAACAAACATTTGTGCAGTTGTTTTTTATCCTTACCATTTCCAAAAATATAAAATAAAATATATCACCTTTTAAGCAATTCACAGTGAAGATCAACATACTAATCAACAAACTTTTTGGATTAATTCTTGACAAGTTGTTGACGTCTTTATGACAACTTTCTGATACTGCTTTCGTTTCATATGGCTAATCAAAATTTAAGCCAGAGCTAGGTAACATGCAGAATTACTGTCAAGTTCTGCATTCGCGCTCTTGCAACTGACATCTCTGTATCCCCATAGTTCTTGTAATTTTATCCACTAGAAGCCATCAGAAAGTTGTCAACATTAAAAGATGTCAAAACGTTGTCAAAATGTAACCAGAAACTTTGCCCAATGGCAACAGTACATAAATCTTCACTGTATCACAACAGGAAACATTACCATTTAAGTATAACAAGCTAACCTCTCTGTGTTCCATTTTTTAAAAATTATTATTTCGTGACGTGAAGCAAACAAACACAGCCATTTTGTTTGGCCGGTCATACAGTGTAACAGCATATCCATTCACATGAAAATTATTGGTGTGTAGGAAATTCGTTTCTAACAATAATCATAAGTAAATAATTAATATTTCACAGCAATAGGGCAGACAGTCAGATTTATACCATCAATTCTACAATGACTGCAATTCTTGAAGACTATACATCAAAAATTTATTATCTGACAACTACTGTAATTCCTGGCACAAAACAGAAGTGTTTGTACACATCACTCTGATGATTTGATAGCCATCTGTGCTTTACTGGACTGTAGAAGAAACAATTTTACAACATTAACAAAGGATATTTTTCTGATATGATGTTAATCCAAATTAGAGCAGCCCATCAAAGTGTACGTAGCACTTTTTCAAGGAGGCTTAAATTCTGAAACTGCTTCTAGCTTATCAAGGAAAAAAAAAAAAAATTATACAAGGGAAGTGCATAGAGGACTTAAGAAGAATGAGGCTTGTAACACTCTGATCAAGAGACAGAGATTTGTTTGTTGTCACTATCATGAATTTTTTTCTTTTTGAATTAAAAGATGTTATGTTTCTTTGAGTATTTAAATGTTGCTCTGGAATAAGTGTCACGTAATAAAATAGAAAGAAAGTAGTGGAGCAATTTTTCAAGTAAAAAGTAAAAGTCTGGTGGTATTTTAAGCTATATGCTTGCGTGTTGTAAAAAAAGTTGATCATGTGATGATGGAAATATTAATAAGCTTGTGGTCTTGCAAGGAGTTATCCTCTGAATGCAGATGTAGTACCAGCTGCTATTTTATTACATCGAACTACAACCAGAAAACTGTCTTCAATCAGAAGCTAGAGATTAAACCTTTGTTTTACAGTGCAAAAGAAAAGGGCTCTGAGAATTATTAAAAACTATTTTGTGACAAAATCTACCTAGATACAATAAATTATTGACCAAAACTGACAACGAGTGAGTTAGTAAACTTACTAATAATCATTCTAACTTAACTGCAAGTATTGTTCCTCCATTATTTTTCAAGGAAATGTCAGTATTCATGTGAAGGTTTCATTTCAACTAAAGACAACTTTATGTGCCACATTAAAATTGAATATTCACTTTCTTCTGTTCTGTAGATTAATGTGCTATAACCACCCCATAGTACAGCAAAAACAATACCAACCTCTCCCCTCCCAAAAAAAATAAATAAACACACATAATTTGTATAAATAAATGAATAAATAAGTAAATGAATAAATAACCAAACAAATCAAAGGTGACACGATATAAATAGACACCTCTTTAAAGTGGAAACTCAGTTACATAATGTACTATCAAAACATGAAGTTACTTCATGATGTCAAAAACATTGTCAAAATCAAGACAATCCGCCCCCCCCCCCCCAATCAGTAACAAGAAATTCAATTCCAAACTTTTCCAGAATTTTAAACACTGTTTTGTTAATATTTTTGCAGAAACCACAATCCATGACTTGACTGTACCCACCTGTATAATGGCTATGATAACACCAAACAATCCAATAGCACTTCCAAAGATCTCCACAATCAAAACCTTTAAATCACAACACAAAAAACATCAAATAAGTATACAAATAGTACACAAAAGCAATCTTGTGTAATTAATCTATGCAGAGTCAGTAGCATAAAACAACAGACCACATACATGTACACTGTATTGGCTCCTTCAAAGGTCAAAAGAAACAAGGAATGTAATGCTAATAAAACTTTTAAAGACAAGTGTGAGTGTTTGTGAAAACAGGGAATTCTTGTAAAGTTGATCGTGAATTGTGTTTGCAGGATATGTTAGCCATCTTCACATAATTTTTACAGTTAGAGGATGGATTTTTCTTTACAGGCACTCCATTAAAAGAGAGTAAATTAAAGAAAAAAAAGAAAAGTAAAGTTAAAGAGTAAAGTTCCAAAAGTAACGAGTTCAACTCACATCACTTTTGGATTTAGCAGTTTTCCTCTATGCTACTTTACAGGATTTGCTACTTTCAAGTAGCAAAAACAAGCACAGTAATAATTTCAGCCAATCTAAAACGTAATATATTGCCTTTGTAATAAGGGCAATATAAAAACACCTGTGAGATCACTTAGGCACTGCTTATTGCATACAGTAAAAGCCCGCATAAAAGAACACATGTTTTTGGGTTTCAGGCTGATTTTGTTCTTATATATTGGGTGTTTTCTGCTAAATCAGCCTGAAAATGTTCTTACGGTGTTCTTAAAACTGTTTCTAAAAATTAAATACTGCATAGACTACCAACAAATGAAATCAATGTGCAAGCACAACATTTTAGTTAATTAATGTATAGCGCATATATTGATCTACTCAGTACTGTACTTAGTATTATACCCTGGTAGGTTACTCTAATCTAACTGGCAGCCAATTTTTTTTTTTTATATAAGAACAATTTTCATCTTTCAGGCTGAATGTGTTCTTATGTATATGGTACTTTTTTGACCAAATTTTAGCCTGAGTGTTCTTAATCCACTTGTTCTTTTATGCGGGTTTTTACTGTGTATGTTATTTTCATTGAGAATCAAAACGAGTGAAGCTACATTAGAGGCCAGTTTTGGATAGGCAACAACTTTGGTGTGGGTTGCTATCTCAGGGGATTTGCTACTTTTGGAACTTTACAGCATACTGAAAAAACCCAAATGTTCTTGATCAATCACAGTGTAGGAGTTGTCAGTCATAAAATCAGAGGAATCACACAGACAACAAATATCGTGATTGACAATACCTTGACAAACAAAGATGGATTCTGGGCATCAGCCAGAGCTGCACCGCTAATACAAGGAAATAAAAAATATTACATGTAAAAAGTTGTCTAGTTAATGAAAATCACAATGTGTTGTCCCATAAAATTTCCATACCCCTCCCATGGAAGGTTTTTTAGTTGAAGTTCTCACCCCTGCAGAAATTCAGGTTTAGCTTCATCCTTTCCTTTGAAAACTATGGCTTCCACATCCCCCCTCCCCCCCTCNCCCCCCCCCTTGGAATTTCTGTTAACCTTCCTTGGGGTGGGTTTGGATATTTTCTGGAACTGCACAATAATCATTATGGCAAAAATACTGATAAATTTGCACATAAAGGGCAAACCAAGAAATCAGTTAATAAATCTGCATTAAACAGTAAATTCAGACACTGACAATACTTCTTGAAAATGATTAGTGAAAATTGATAGTGATACTTTTTTTTTCTCATGCAATTGGGGCTTGTTAAGCCTCTAGCTTCAACAGCTAATGAGCCTAGTTACAGAAAACTAAAAATCCAGAAAAAAACGAAATTACAAGGGCAAATGTAATAACTTCAACTGACATTATACTGTTGGATTGCACTAATTCGAACTTGGTTATTTCAAATTCCTCAATATTTGAACTGAAAACTGTTTCCCTTGGATTTGCCCTTCAGTCATTTACTATTGGCTATTTTGAACTCCCATTATTTCGACTTTTTTTAATTTTACCCGAGAGTTCAGAATCGTGGGGTTCAACTACAGGTAAACTAGGCTAATCAATTTATAGCTTGATTTAAAAATTTTAAAATTAATAGAACATAGAACAAAGGGAGTTACAGGTTTACACAGGACTTCTTAACACATGATTTATATTTATACAACAAATAAATAATTTTGCACTTTTAGTGGTGAAAGGTTTCACATGGCTAACTCACCTTCCAACTATTCCCACACAAATACCACAGAAGAGGTTTGAAAATCCAACTGTCAAACCAGCACCAAACAGCATGAAGCCTGGAAAACATAATCAAACCCTAAAGGTATCATTCACAGTACAGGAGCACTTGTAAATACTAGTTGCAGTAACTCTGACTGTAGTTTACTCTTTAAGTGGTCTGTAACCCCTTACTTTCTTTCAATATATCACTTCCTTTACTGATTTTCACCATTTTACCAATAACACAAAATGAACAAGAGAAGTTTCGTTTAAGAATTACTTCCCTTTTTCTACTCACTTACAATTGAATTGTACCGTATGTAGACTGATCTAGATTGTAGAGTTAAATTAAGTGGAGGAGTGATATAAGTTGGAAGATATTGATTTTAAACACTGAGGCCTGTTTTTGTTGAACTAAACATGATTCACCTAATTTAGGTCTTCATTCCAGTTAATTCTTCACTGAACGCAATGGAACGGATATCACATTACATGACCAAAGCTTCTACAAGTAAGTAAGTAAGTTCTTCGAAATGCTTTACCTCAAAAAACAAGTATGGTAACCATACATATCTAACTACCGTAACTAAAATCTAAACATGGGAAGATTTGGGCATGAATGTCCTTAAATATCGGAATTACAATAAATTATCATTAAACTTTTTGTTTTTGACTCTCCTTACAACACATGTCTATACTATCTTTGGCATTTGATTAAACTCAGTCTAAGTAGAGGCAAACTAGATTGCTACTTTGCAAGTACTAGTAGTAAATTACCTGAATTGTGGACATGTCTGATTTCCTCAGCTTTTGTGAGAGAATCCACATCAACATTCTTTGATCAAAAGACAAAAGAAGAAATTATCTTCACAATGTTCATTCGATGAAGTCTTATGAAGTAACATGTGATAATTCTGAGTTTAGCAGGCACACACAGGCAGCCATTGTGTTTGATCAGGGTTGCTATATAAATTATACTGTTGTTTTGAAAAGATTGTCCTATAAAAGCATAAAAGAGCATTGGTTTGTGTAAAATGCAGATTGCCGACTGTAGACTGGGCGTAAAATGCAGACTGAGGGTAAATGTACCGTAGACAGCAGACTAAAGAATTTTTAAGTACATGTTTACATTGTGTTATTTCCATTATCAAGTGCTAACAGTAAACAAGGTTATTCAGGCCGGGTAATCATAGTGAAAGTCCAGCACTCCAGTTAGCCTGAATAGCACTCTAGTTGGGTTAGCCTGAATAATGCTCCAGTTAGCCTGTTTACAGCTAGCTCTCAATGATGGAAATGGTAAGTTAAACACAATTCAGTCAAAACGTCTGCAGTCTGCAGTCTGTATTTTATCCTTAGTCTGCATTTTACCCCTAGTCTACAGTCTGTGTTTTCCACTGACTCAAAAGGGTATGTGACCATGTCAAAGGGTATTATTGGCAATGGCAGTTTACAGTTGTTTGATTGAAGCTGAAGATGTTTTAGCAAGATAGACAGAGACAGCAGGAACATGTGCATTCATGCTTTCTTCTTCCTTCCTGTGAGGCACCCTGAACATCAACCTCTACCTAGCAATGATGAACTTTCACTACCCATAACATTAACCAAAATTGTCGACTACTTTTTTACGCTTTTACAAGACAATCTTTGTTGACAGCTGTATGTAAGTGGCTAGTAGTATTAGAACACCTCTGGGTAGGATGCTAGTTCACTGTACATTATGAGTAGGAAAAAACAGTCTCGTCAGGGCACCGTCATTTCCTTACCGCCACAAAGTTGCTAAGAACAATGGACATGATGATTCCATAAATTGCAACAGCTTCACAGAAGATTATACTGCAAATCAAATAAAGGAATAAATTTGATTAAACAAAGAAGGGCATCCTTGCTCTCCACACCACAATAAAGTCATTCATTGTACAGGTCTAAAAATGTGATCATTCACTATGTTAATACTACAAAGCAAAAGAGATTGTGACAGTGTAGTGGAACAAAGAAGTGATGGATTTAAAGAAACTAGAGTAAGATATACATGCACAGGGGTCAAAATGTTCCCACACTGTTTACCTGTGTCTAGTGACAGGCAGAATATTTTTTCACCTGTCTACACCACCATCCAACCAGGGTCCAAAATTAACTTTTTTCTGCAGGCGCCAACTGGCGACTAAAATTTTTTTCACAGTCACCATATGGAAAAATTTGGTCGCCAAAAAAGGGTCAATAAAATTTTTCCTTCGCAGCGAAAAACAAACCAAAATTTTTGGTCGCCACGGGCTTGCCGGCAAAATATTTGCATTTGATGTAATCAGATCAGGAATCAAACCAGTGCTGAAATCATCTTTTGACCACTTTGACAGATCTACATTTCCACCGTTTGATGCCCACAGAATATCTAAATCTTCATCTAATTTCTTCACGGATGTTCCGTCTCCACTTTGTAATAAATTACGGAAAGATTTCAGAACATCTTTGGACACCACATCACCTGAATAAATATTCATGGCGAAAGAACACATGGGGCCTCCTTTGCTCCCGCAATACATTATGTTATGGGAAACTGCTGAAAAAACATGATCGCAGCTGTAAAACGTGTGGTAGATTTATGATAACAGGAAAATCGGTTTTATACTTCAAAAGCAGCGACAAGGTAAAAAGGAAGTGACCAATTGGCGGGCAGCTTTGAATTTTATTTTAATCGATTTGGCTGAAAATCAAAGTTCTTGTTTGTGCAGTTATCGTAGCATGAAATAGTTAATCGCCCGCTGGCGACCAGTTGTAAAATTCTGGTCGCCAGTGCAAAATTTTTAGTCGCATTGGCGACCAGGAAAGCGCAATTTCGGACCCTGCCAACTTGAACAATATTATTTTAAGAATGCCGAGTGGCTAGTTTAATGAGTATTGCTTGCTTCATGTGAATGGACATTCTCTATGTGCATCAAACTCTTTGCAGTTAGAACAGAACATCTTTCCATCCTCTGCTGACAACCACAGGTGTCCATCTTTCCATTTCTCATTGAACTTTAACACTCTTACATTATTACATTTCGTCGTCAGTGTTTCAAAATTCTCCTCTACGTGTACTTCTTCAACTTCCGCTTCTTTAGCACATTGTTTACATGTTAGAAAACGATCCATATTGTGAACTGAAATACTGAACTCACTCACGCTTGATCGGCGAAAAAACGTGAAGAATAAAGCAAGTCACATTTTGTTGTTTTTATCATGTGCACTGCAAAGACTGCACATCTTGCTTTTATTGACTACCATAAGAGAATTGCATGAGTGTGCATGACTGCGGGTGGAAAATGGATGAAAATATTTAATATTCAAATCAATAAATTCTGAATTACTAAGGATCATCTTGCCTGTCGCCAGCGACAGACATCAATATTTTTTACCTGTCACTTCCTAAAATTACCTGGTAGCCAAGCAACATTTCAACCCCTACATGCAAATTTATTCTAATGCCTCAGTATCTACTGCATGCCGATTGATACCGCTGAACCTCTCTATAATGGTCAGAATTAATTTGTGCCTTAGAGAGGTGGCCTTTGTGTGGAGGGATTCAACTCAACAAAATGTTCCTTTGAGTTTAGCTGCTGTGAAGACATTTCCACTGAATTCATGTGCTGATATTCTCAGAGTTCCAAAATTAAGACTCACATTTTAAGTTGAAACTACTCTTAAAACAAATGGGAGATTACATTTTAGGACCATTTTACCATGCATTGAATACAAGTCTGATTAAGGAGACTGTCTAGTTTCAGTCAACCCTGAAAGCTAGAAAAAATTCAAAGGAATCTCTCCCAGCATTGAAGCCCTGATGCCAGTACAGTGGAACCCTGCCTTATGGTCACCTTGTTATTATGGCCACTTTTTTTTTGGCCCAGCAAAACACCTGTAGATTTTCTTATAAGAAAACCCGCTTAATGCAACCACCCCATTAATACAGCCAACAAACAGATTCTGAAATCCCAACCTGAGTGTATAATCCTTCATTACTTTATCCCCTTTACACGGACACTTAAACCAGTAGTGTTACTCTTTCCATCGTTAATATTGTATGTACTGATTGAAGTTTCATTTTTTTTAAATTTCACCAGCATGAATTCCAGCTGTTTATTAGAGAACAGTTGTTTAGAAGTGTAGTGGTGATATGTCTGTTAAGACATCACTCAATTTATACCAGTCATGAGGTTTGACCTTACCTCATTAATATGGCCAACCAATTATCTATGGCCAAATTTTCATGGCCCCTTGGTGACCAGATTAACCAGGTTCAACTGTAATTACCTTTACACAAAGTAAAATCTAATAAACAATTCCTTCCAATTCACCTGATAAGATTTTTTGTTTTAATTCTCGGTGCCTTTACACCTCCTCCACAAATACTGGCACCTGTGATGAGAATTCCCCTAAAGAAGAAATAAATAACACATACAAGTCTCAGAAAAATACAGCTTAAATCATTAATAGTAATAATTATTGAAGAGGCTCTGGGCATTACAAATATAACATTCATAATGTCACAAAAAATTTCACTAATCAAATCCAGTTCTGCAATGTAATAGGAAATTTCACTCAAAAAAAATACTCAAAACACAAAGTACGAAATGCAAGTGTTTATTAGCATAAAATTCATGAGTCATAATGAAAGTCAGCAAGTGGACAGTAATGATATGTTTATTATGCTGTACAAGGTATTTGTAACTTATAGGTTTGTGGACGAAACCCTAGTGTGTGACCATTCAAATGAAAGCTATTGAGCAGTTCTTTCATGTGGTACTGTTTATCATGCAGTACAAGGTGGTTCTTACCTTTAAGTCTGTGGATGAAACCCTAGAGTGTGACCATTCAAATGAAAGCTATGGAGGAGTACTTTCATGTGGTACTGTTTATCATGCAGTACAAGGTGGTTCTTACATTTAAGTCTGTGGATGAAACCCTAGAGTGTGACCATTCAAATGAAAGCTATTGAGCAGTACTTTCATGTGGTAGTGTTTTGCATACTGTACAAGATGGTTCTAACCTTTTACTCTATGGATAAACCCTAGTGTGTAACCATTCAAATGAATGCCATTAAGTATTACTGTCAATGATGTGGTACTGTTTATTATGCTGTAATACAAACTGTTCATAAATTTCTGTGATCATTCAGTTAATATTATAAAGTTTGATCTTGAACACGGTGGAGGTTGAAAGGGTTAACAATAAAATTTATTTAATAAAGAACTCACCATGCAGCACCAACGACAGACAGAGATATAGCTAGTCCTATGCCAAAAGATCCCCACATAAATGGGGAAGTTTTATCCAAGAACCTAGCATAAAATTAGACCAAAAAGAATTCATCATACATATACTTATAATGAAGGAGACTAACATATAAATGCTATTTGCACTCAATAAATCTCTTTCTGGCAGTTTGGTTGTATAATTTGTTTTCCACTATTTCTTTATTTCACTATGTAAATGTGACGTCCACAGAAATCATTATCTGATGAACACACCTAAGAAAGTACTGTAACAGTATTTTGTGCCAACTAGGTATGTAAATAACTTTCATATCGCCTTGAAAATTAAATTACAATATTTAGAGAGGAAGCCACATCAGCCTTAGCCGATTTTCATGCAGGTCCTCTATCCTGGTCGAATTGGAATTTGGAAATGTTGGTTTTTGTGAAGGGAGGTAAACTGAAGAACTTGGAGAAAAACCCTCAGAGCAAAGCGTGAACCAACAACAAACTCAACCCACATATGGCACGGGGCCAGAATTGAACCTGGGTCACACTGGTGGGAGGCAAGCGCTCTCACCACTGTGCCATCCCTGCTCCCTCAAATCATCTCACTCCCACTCTGAAAATTACAGAAGCTAATACTGACAAATGATTTTGGAACTTGTTTTGAATTAGCTGTATTTCCAAAAGACCCTCGAAATAAGGCCAACTTATAAAAATAACCCACCACTGTTACCTAAAACTGATTAAAAAGAATCAGGAAAAGGATATTTAGTTTTAATAGGCATTGCTCATTACAGATGTTTAAATTGGATTTCAAATTTAACCACAATAAATTTGGCACTGACGATGACAGAATTTCTGTGGAAACTCTTTAACATACCAAAATTATTACCAGTCTGGTTCTAATCACGACCTTTTGTTTTCATAAAAAAAAATGCACAAATTCGGGATGAGCAAATTGGGATGTTTCTTCTGTCTTCTATGTGTTATCTAAACGGAAAAACTTATGCCCTAACCAGAAAGGAAACTACTTGCAAACTTACCATCCTATATCAAATCTTCTTCCAAGACCAGAGAGATTGTAATACAACCCTGAGCGAAAATATAAACATTCATAATTCACAAATTCAGCCGCCATCTTGAATGCTCACCAAAGAACACAAATTCTAGTGACTCACCGACACAAATCAACAGGAAAAGGGTCAAAGAGTACACTACAGAGTAGTATCCTAAATTGGAGCTCGCAACGTAAGGCATATCTGGTTTAAAAGCTTCAAAAAGACACTTTCGTAGAGAGTTTTTCTATCCTCTCATTTCGGTTCTCATGTGACAAGCCTTGAGCTTTGTAGCCTGGCCCAATTTGAAAGTTCGCCCCAGTATCACACGGCCCGTAAGGTAAAGGAAATACATGTATGACTTTCAGACAATCACCTAAGTATCACTCCTATGCAAAGCATAAAGAATTTGTTTCAAAATTGTAAAAATCGTTTTCAAGGAGATTAGACCTCTACATCTTACTACATCTTACTACATCTCCTTCGGCAATTCGCTTGCTATTTATACCTCAACAAGTGCGCTTAGGTAGTTAAAGAAAAAGCATTACCCTAATTATATTCCAGTCTTATTTTATAGTCTTATTTTTACCCTTTCCGCGCTTTTTTACTGTACCGTTAAGGCCTTTGTGAGACAACTCTCTGAAGACCTCCGAAACAGACCACCTTCTCAACTAAAATGCCTCAAAGAAGGCAATGGAGAAGTGATTTGTGTCGCTGGTACACGAGCTAAAGATGCTTGAGGACGGGCTTCTTTCTTTCCTTTATACTGAGAGGAGGGAAGACTATATTACATTTATTTTATATGCTTTTGTTTTCAATTCTCACTTCTCTTTGTATATTCCAGCGTTGATATTTGTTTTGTTATTATGTATATTTTTTGAACCTGCATGCCATGGATTATAACTAATCCATTGTAACTATGATTATAATAATACCCGGGAATGATAATAAGTGAACGAATGAATTAAGAAAAAAGGAAATAGGATATAGTCAAGCATGACGGGTAACCAGAGCTAACTTCAAACTTTCAAGTTGGCTTAGAAATGATATTGAATAATAAAAGTTATCGATCTATACAATACATTCACTGATCATTACTTTTTTGTATGTGGTGGCTCCTAAAGGAGCCGTTTTGTTTATTGTAGAATCGTCGCACTTCACTTCTTAGCCGTTTTCTTGGCGGCAGGCTTCTTGGCAGGCTTCTTTGCCGCGGGTTTCTTGGCCGCTTTCTTGCCGGGTTTTTTAGCTGCGAGCTTCTTTGCTGCTGGTTTCTTAGCTGCGGGTTTCTTTGCTGCTGGCTTTTTCGCTGCTGGTTTCTTCGCAGACTTCTTTGCCGCGGGTTTCTTCGCTGCCTTCTTGGCGGCAGGCTTTTTCGGTTTGGCGGCGGGCTTCTTCTTGGCAGCGGGCTTCTTCTTTGGCTTCTTCTCCTTCTTTTCCTCCTTCGGCAACTTGAAGGAGCCTGAAGCACCAACTCCCTTGGTATGTAGAAGCTTTCCGCTTGAGGCGCCTCTCTTCAAAGCCATCTTCAAGTGCGAGCCAACCTCACCAACCTTGTAGTTGGCTTTGATGTATTTCTCGATGGCTTGGCGAGAAGAACCGCTTCGCTCCTTCAGCGCTGAAATGGCAGCCTTGATCATATCCAAATAAGGTGGATGATCAGCTGGCTTTTTAGGCGCTGCTGGCTTCTTTTTGACTGGGGATTTTGTTGGTGCGGACATGTTGCTACGTTGAAACCACTTCAGAACTGAAGACTCGAAATGTACCCATTCGAATGAGCAAGCAGTGTATATGCGCCGAATGCGGACCACCGAGGAAACAAGGCAAGCAAAGATGGCGTCGTCAAAATTTGTGCTACTTTGCTCAACGTTTTGTAAAATAAAATCGTATTCTAAAAAGTTTTTCCTTACCTAAGCCTAAAAAATTGTAGCTGTGTTGTTTTTAAGGCTGAAGATGAAAAACATGTTAGGAAAAAGACTGGCAAAGAATGGAACTGAAAGCTTTGAAGTTTGTAAAGTGAGAAGATTCTAAACAAAATTTTGTAATAACAACGAATTAACTTTTGTTAGAATCACTATTTTTCAAAATAACAAACATCTTAATTAAGAACAACTCCTTGAGCTTAAATAACAATTAGAAAATTGGGTCTCCTTATTGATTTTCAGCAGCTAAACTTCGCTTTCCTCTGACCAACAAATACAGACTTCGGAACCCGTCAGTTAAATAATTGACTGAATCCGACTTGTTGAAGCTCAGATGTTTTTCAGGGGCATGCCAGCCATTAGAGACTGCTCGGAAGTTAGAATTATGATTTACAGGCTTTAAATTTGATGTAAAGCGATTTAGTGATGCACTTAACTACAGAAACAGAATTTCAACAACACATGTCGTTGTTGATATAGTCAGACTTCGAGCAGATTCAGTTGGCCCAGACTAGGACGGCTCTACTACATCTGTTGCACTCCTGTAAACGTTTCTATGGTCTTAAAAAGCGCTTAAACAGGTGATTTTAAATTTCCAGATCTGTAGGAATCAATGATATGACAAAAGATACAGTAGAAAATATATCCTAGTTTCGAATTTCTCGAAACGTGCTAGCGGAAACATTTGCATATAATTATTATATTATCAGAGCGCAAAAATCCGTTTATTTGCCCTAATAGAGTTTAATATTATTAGGGGATGACCTTCAAAAATGCAACGAGTTGAACGAAAGACATCTTAGTAGTAATAAAAATTTCCTCCTAGCTCTCTGTCTCACTTGCAATAAGTAATTTAGATCGATATTGCAAAGACCGCCCGTACCCACTGGAACCTTCAAGGAAAGTGGCGCCAAAATTTATTGAAGTTAACGATTGTTAGATCTAGCAGAAGTCAGACGTTACGAAAGGTCAAATCCTACGTAAAACTCTGTTATTTTCGTTTCAGTGTATAATGATACGAAGAAACATTCGGGCAAAATTTCAAGAGGAAGAAATCGAACCATGTACATGAGCGAGACGACGCCGTTGATCGGAAACAAAATGGCGGAATATGAATGTTGTTTGGAAACTTTGTATGTGCAAGACGATTTTCATCGAACAATTTTCATTTTACCAGTCTCAATTTTCTTCAAAATCTTAGTTTTCATATAAATGCTACTGCCAAAATAAACTGGATAAGGGAATTCGTATCTCGGTATGAAAACTGAAGGGACCGAATATTTCAGGGACGTTCGGTTTCTTCTCATGGAACTAAGGTAATTGAACATGAAAGCGTCTATAATTTCATTTGTGTGTGTTGGTCATTGCTTTTATTCATGTGGTGGCTCCTAAAGGAGCCGTTTGTTCTATAAAGGTGTTATCCACTTATGCTCGCTCTCCACGGATTCGGCGGGCCAACTGAATGTCCTTGGGCATGATGGTGACGCGCTTGGCGTGGATGGCGCACAAGTTGGTGTCTTCAAACAGACCAACAAGGTAAGCCTCGCTAGCTTCCTGAAGAGCCATGACAGCGGAACTCTGGAAACGCAGATCGGTCTTGAAATCCTGAGCGATTTCTCGCACAAGGCGCTGGAAGGGCAGCTTGCGGATCAGCAGCTCGGTGGATTTCTGGTAACGACGGATCTCACGAAGAGCGACTGTACCAGGCCTGTAACGTTGAGGTTTCTTGACTCCACCGGTGGCAGGAGCGCTCTTACGAGCTGCCTTGGTGGCGAGCTGTTTTCGTGGAGCTTTTCCACCAGTTGATTTACGAGCGGTTTGCTTTGTGCGAGCCATAGCTAAAGACGATCGCGTTGTAACGAAAAATACCAACACAAATTTTATCAAGTGATTTATACTTGGCGGGACGCTTCCTGATTGGTCGAAAACTATAAGATTTCATTGGTTTGTTTCGAAAAACGTAAATAATTTCACGGTTCTGTGAGTATATTTCGATCCAAGGTAGAATTGAATGTTTTATAAGGCATGAAAGATTGCATTGGTACGATGAAATCGTTTAAAAACGTTGTCATAATTATAAAATTTCCGATGTTAGGTCATGTTAGGGTTAGAATTAAATTTTCTCATTGGCAAAGACATATTCCCTGTACAAAAAGATAAGGCATGTGTCTTGTGAATACGACAATGATAAATGAGTCTGTTCATCTGACCCTTAGCTCTATTGTCTTTTCTTATCCAATAGGAGAAAAGGTATTGTTTTCCGAGAGGTCCTCCTTCACCATATAAAATAGAAGAACGGAGACAAAACGGGCTAATTCAGTTACACAAGTAGCAATCAACATGTCTGGTCGCGGTAAAGGAGGCAAAGGTCTAGGAAAAGGAGGCGCCAAGCGTCACCGAAAGATCCTTCGTGACAACATCCAAGG